AAGAGGAGGGAGGCCCAACACTGTGGCTTTCACCCTGCCCCACAACATCAATGCCTGCACTCCACATCAATCTTGTAGGTGCTGCTTTGTAAGGGGCTTTCATGCAGAAATGTCACTTGTGAAGCAGTACCTCACAGGATCAAACCCTCCTGCTGACCACTTGATAGGCAGGAGAATCTGAGCCTCTGCAGTGTGCTGGGTCCTCCTCCTTCACAAGCGTTTTCCTTCGTGTGCAGGGAAACTACTAACAATGGAGCAGTGACCAGAACTCAACAGGAATAGTTCCTTCCACTTAACAGCTGGCAGGGTCCAATCCTGCAGAGTACTGGTACAACTCCCTGGCCCTTTTCAAAACCCAATGTGTTAAAATAGGATTTTAAAATTATCTTGGGGATGGATTCAGGCGTACCAACCCCCAAAGTTGGACCAAAGTTGTTGAGCTTTGTTTAGGGCAGCTACCGATTTAAGCTCTGCCCCCTCCCCGCAGCACCCGAAATGCCCAGGAACCACCGTGCTGACCGCAAGCACCCCTGCTGTCCAGAATTACAACCCCCAACACACAACAGCCAGTGTGCTGCACTGCAGAGTCTTGTGCCGCCCCTACAGACACCTATGGTGCCCTATGCCCTCCCCCCCCACGCCTGGCTACCTACGCTACTGGATTAGGACATCACAGGATGAAATCTACCCAATCTGGGCCACAGGGTGGATCGGGGGTCTGTGCACACCCTAATCATTGACTGCATTCAACAGGTTTAATTGACTGAGAGCCAGAAGTGTACAATAGAAAACCATGGCAGGCTATAAATGACCTAGAGGCCTTTTACTGGCTTCCCTTAGCCATTTCATTTGCTCCTCATAGTCAATTCAAGACAAGGACACCTCCATGCAACCTTGGATCGAGGAGTGCCATCTTCTTGATGTCATCTTGAATACTTCGTGGTATGATATATGGTGCTAGGGGATGTTTAATCACTTCACTGGACATGTGTGTGTGTGTGTTTAAACAGCAGTATGTGCTCTGCTGCATCCATGTTCAAACCAGCATCATGGGCAACTCTTATCTCCACAGGGAGCCTCAGAATTTTGCGCTGGTTATTGAGTTCTAATTATGTTTACACAGATGCATACATTTCAACCATTGTAAAAGCTGGAGGAGGGGGAGTTGGCCTCATTTGCAATTCTTTCCTTTGAAAAATCTATTTCCTAAGGCACTTAGGAAGCTAAGTCTCATTGAAAGTCAATGGGACTTGTACTTCCAACCGCCTACAGCTGCCCTCCCATACACAATTCGACTGCTGTTAAATCCCACTGAAGTCAATGGGATTTGAGCAGCCCTGTGTGCAGCATTATAGCCTAAGGCTGCACTCTTCAAGCAGCTTACCTTTCCTGAGAATTGTGCTGCTGCAGCAGTTTCAAAGTTTAGCTTATAAGTTTAAGGAAAATCATAACTAGACATCAAAGAAAGTCACGGCTGGTGCCGTGTCCTTCTAAAAAGACCGCATCCCACTGAAATTACCAGATCTTGTAATACCTGATATTTGGAAACTATAGGCTAAAGCAGAAACCCCAAGCAAATTTATCTGGAAGTACGTAAGTTCCACTAAAAAAGAAACCAGCGCTAACTGACTCACTCACAAGTAACTACAGTACATCAAACATCATGCAGAGTACAATTCTGACTGTGGTTATTTGGCTGTAAGAGCCAGAACACACATTATGGTCCTGGGCAGCAACTAGCTTTCCTTAAAAAGCCACTTGGATAAGCAAGGAAGGCCTGGAGATCCAACATCTTAACCCATGCCTCACTAAAATAGATTTTCCATCCTGTTCTGCTGCCTCCCAGTGCCAGCAGTGCCACAGCTGAGGGGGAAGGGGAAGGAGTTCGTAATTTCAAAATTGTGGCCTCCAGGTGACATCATAACCTATGAGGTCATAAAGGGTGTGGTGCCCAGTTCACTTATTCCACTGAAAGGAATGGACTTTGGACTGTAATACTGATTTTCTTATTATAACAAAACACCCATCATTCAACATTTGCCAGTAGTTTTCTAATATTGATCATTATTCTTTGGAGATGAGAATCCATTCAATATACGCATGTGATACATGATACAATTCAAATGATTAATAGTTAATGCTCAAAACCACCATGTTATTTCCTAGATACTCTGCTTTTTTGAAGAACTTCCCACGCAAACCAGCTTATAATCACCAATAAAAACCAACACTTGACAATAAAATATAAAAATGCAGACTATGGTACAGCTAAACAATAGAACAGCAGAAACACTGACGTACGGATATAGAATATCTGTGTGTGATTGCAAAAATTATTAATTTTGAATAAAGAAGGTGGTGACAGGATTAGTAAAAATTGAATGTGCTTTTTTGTTGAAAGTTTTTTTTTTAAGCTGCTCAATTATTCAAGGACTTTCAATGTAGGAAAATAATGTTATGCACACTTTAAAGTAAAGCAATTAAACATTAAATAAACCCACTCCTTAGAAGTGACAATGTGGACGCCTCTGTGTTCCATGTCAGTTAATTTGAGATAAGGCAGAATCAGCCTGACTTTTGATTTAATCATATAAATTAGCAATGCCATAAGTTACCCTGTCCTTTGGTTAGCGTATCCCTAGCAGTACAATTCTGAAACATGAGTGGGGAACCTCAGGGTGAATGCGGCCCTCCTGACCTCTCCATCAGGCCCCCAGAATGCTCCCCAAGCCACACCCCTCACTGGTCCTGCTTCACCCCCCCCACTGTTTTCTCCTGGCTGGAATGGGTCCTTGAACTCTGATAATGCCCCTTGCTTGCCTGGATGGAGAATATAAGGGGGGCGGTTCTGAGTGTGTGTGGAATCCAGCCTATCTGTATAAAGGTAACAATTTGCTGTTCTGCCCATAGAAGGTTGTCCAGAAGGGAATGGGACCCTTGGGCTGGAAAAAAGACCTTGCTATAAAAATTTAAGCAAAAGTAAGTCACTGAGTTCTATGAGGGCTTAGTTATAAGTAGCTGTGCATAGAACCGTATCCTCTACATACAACAAACTACATATGGAAATGTAAGGTTTAGCAAAGCAGGGCAAGACGTCCTCTGGAAATTCGCAGATTAGACGCTGCCTCTCCAGAAGTGGCTTGTGAGGAGGGGCAGAGGAAAGAAGCTAGCTTCCTGACAGGTGGGTGGGGCCAGCCCAAGCGCCTGAGGCAAAGGACAAAATGGTGCCACCCACCCCACCACCCGGGGAGAAGGGGTGAGTGAAGATCTACATCAGGTACGGGGGGGGGGGAATGAAGATCTACATTGGGAACAAGGGTGGGAGAAGAGCACCAGCCTCTCCTATTCGCCAACTGGTTCCCAGGAGGTGGCAGAACCACAGCTGTTGCATTCCTTGGAGGCTGGATCTGCTGCCCCTGTGGATCTTGCCACCTGAGGCAGTTGTCTCATGTTGTCTCGTGGGTGGGCTGCCCTGCAGGTGGGTGACTTGGAGGCAGTAAGGTCAGCGCAATCCAGCACCTCTGAACATCACTTATTGATCATTAGTGATCAATAGGACTACATCAAATTGCTGCTACTAAGACCCAACCAATCAAAACACATTTCAGTCCCATTGATTTCAATGGGGAAAATTGCCTCAGTTGCTTAGCTCTACCACTGAAATGAATGGGATTTGCGCTGTGCAGCCCAATCCTATGTATGTTTACTGAGGCATAAGTCCAACAGACCTTGCTCCCAAGGAAGTGTGGCTAAGATGGCACGTTAAGAAGGTAAGGCTGCAAGTGTAGCCACACTTGAATGGGACTAAATCCCATTTAAAGCAGAGGGTTAATGTGCTTATTATCACAGGCTGCGAGGCTAGTGCATTTACCAGGAAGTAAGAATGCAATTGGAATTTACTTCTGAGTAAACATGCCTAGGACTGGGCTGCATTGAAAAAACAAGTTGTTATTTAACTATTAATAATTGAACTGAAATTATTAAATGAAGCCCCAACTCAAATCTCCAGATTTAGCTTTAGATGTGCAAATCAGTCACTTTACACAGAGGGAAAAAGTTTATTGATAAATGTTTTAATTTTCCAGTGGGATTTGGAGGCAATTTTAATAGAGAATCAATTGTCCTTGAACATTCTTGTATAAGAAAGGGGCAGTTCTACAAAGGAGAGGTCCCTCTAGAATAGGATCCCCCAGCAGATTGCTTTGAAAGGATGTTCTTAAATGTACAAATGCAAAAAGAAAAAGAAATCACTGGAAAAAAGAATTATTAAGTGCCAGAAGCACCAAATAACCTTGAGAGGTTGTGAGAAGATTAGATGTGCTCTGCTTCCTTAAATCTGTAGCAGGAAGCCAGGAATGTCTGACTGATTAAGTTTTTTTATTTTATTTTTAATGCAAGAAGTATTAACAGAAAACGAACAAAGGAGACAGACTGTGGAATGGTCTCCATTCCTTGTTCCTCCTTAGCAAAAGAAAAAAAAACTTTCTGAAATCAAGTGGTCATTGAAAGCTTGGAGACCCTCTATAATTTTGGCATGATGGCAGCCATAAATTGAAAGGCTACCAATCCTCTTTCCTACAAACAGTTAGTACTAGCTCCTTAAACATTTTCAGTGCTCACATGAAGTTTGAAACTCAAAACTGTAGGGTGGCAATATATAGCTAATGACTGATGATGAAGCAAGCAAAAGCTGATTTAGGCATGGATCTGATGCCAACACTTTTGCCTCCATGTTGCTACTATTAATAGCTGCATTTATTGAATTATCTTCTAATATAAAGCCATTCTTACAGACACAGGTACTGAAAGAATCAATATACTGTATTAGTTAACAAGAAAACAGCATTAAACAAATGCATTAGGCTATGCAACCATTTAAGTGAAATGGTATGTTCAATGAATACAAAACATTGCAAAACTTTTATTTTAAAGCGGCAAGTGCTCTTATATATAGACAGATATTCAGTGGTTTATATTTTGGTAACAAAACTTGTTCTGACCTTTAGATTGCGCGCTAGATAAATTACCTCGGAGCGAAAGTGGTGGCTTCTCATTGCAGCATCTGGAAATGAAAAGGAGAATTGTGTGTTGTTGTTTTTTAAAAAGGCAGAACTGCATCTGTCTGCACTTCAAAGTAATTTAAGTTCTTGTACACGTCTGCCTGCTCAGTCTTCCTATTCTTGCTAATCCTCATCCCTACAGTCACCACTGAAATGATGTGAAGTCTCTGTGCTGAGCAGCCATCATGTATATCTTAATTCTCCCTCCTCCTCTCTAGAAGTTGGATGGGAAAGTTCTAACGTACTTGAGCTGCGAGAGGGGTTCCCACCCGGCATCTTATGATCTCGTTAAGGGATGGGGTGGAGACTAGGCTGCCGCAGTCTCTTAAAAGCCCTTTCCCCCCAAATAATCCGGGGAGATCCGGAGAGTGGGCGAGCTCTCCCATTAGCAGCAAGTCGTTAACTATCACAGCTTGGGCAGGCGACGGGGGATTCCCTTTCCCTCCCCATGCTCCCTCCTTCCCTCTGAAGAAGCTGGATTCCTCCGTCCCCCTTTGGCAAAAGGCTGCCAGCCAGGCAGGCACTGCGTCTCTTACCTCGGCTCCTTGAGCGCCCGGAAAAGACCGATTTGATCGGATGCCTCCCTTTCTGGAGCTTGCGGTGCCAGCAGCAGAAGAATAAAATCGTGGCGACGGTGCCCAGCAGCAGAAGAAGCAAGAAGAGGGCACATTGGATGCTGTAAGGTCTCAGCAGAACTAAAAAAGCGGCGGCGATCATGGTTCAAGAGTATGTTGGGGGGTTGCTTTCTTTCCCAGGGAGAATTTGAGGTGGGGGGAGTGTTGTTAAGGAAAAGCTGCTGAGGACGAATAAGCCTGGAGGAAGGACAGGAGCCTTGGCGAGAAAACGCTGCAAAGGGCAAGCTTGCCTATGTAGACGGCTGGAGCAGGAGGAGGAGGAGCATCATCCTGGCTTGGTCCTTGTGGCCCCGGAATCAGGGCTCCTCAATGGCTGCAGCAGACCCAGTTCTGAGACGTGTCAGTGATTTCCGCGAGAGAGGGACCCTCAATCCATGACTCAGCAGACAAGAAGGCGGCAGCAACAGCAGCAGCAGCTCACACAGCAGGGTTTTTTTTTCCTCTGGCTTTGCTTTGCTTTTTTTTCCCTTCCACGCGTGAGGGAGAGGGGGAGAGAGAGAGGGAGAGAGGGACAGAGCAAGTGCAGATGGATCAGCAGCAGCAGCAGCAGCAACACCTAAGCTGCAGTCCTGCCTGGAGACAGGGAGAGGGCACCCCTCCGGAGCTGATTTTGCAGCCCGGTATTGCTGCTGTGCGCCTCCAGCTCTTGCATCTCAGCCATGCCCTGTAGCAAGAACGCTGCTGAGGCGGAGGATAGATGGCTGCTGCCGCCGCCGCTGCCCATCAGGAAACCGATTTGCAGAAGGGGAGGGAGGAGAGAAAGAAAGGGGCGATTCCTAAAGTTTGCTGCCGCCGCCGCCGCCGCTCCTGCTGTTACTACTGGCTGTTCACGAGTGAGGGGGATTTGTGGGGGGAGTGTTGCGGTGCTGGGGGGGGAGCAGAACTTGGCTGCCCGGGGGTTGATGACATCACAGGCTGCTGCAGAGTGAAAAATGGCTGCTTTAAGGTGCGAGCAAGGGGAGAGGCAGCCTTGCTGCTGGAGGAGAGGATCCTGGAGGAGGATCACTGCTGGGTCCTGAGAGGAAGGCATCATCCACCACAGCAGGCGAGCGAGCAGACTTGGCGAGAGAGGCTGAGCTGGGCAGGCACGTCGTCGCAGTCATCCTGATCCGCTGCCCTCCCCGGTTTGCTGCTGTTCACTTCCTCGAGGATTAAGAGAGGCGATTCCCTCCCCCCCCCCCTTGCAGATCTTGCAGCTTCTGAAAAGGAGGCAACGGCGGCGAGGAGCTGGGAAGCAAGGGCAAGCGGAAAGTCAGGCAGGGGAAGAACCAGGTGGACATTTCCTCCCTTCAAGTTCAGTGATTTGGCAAATGAACGTCATGCTTTTTTGCTCCCCCGGGCTCTAAACATTGCACGTGTGGAGAGACAGGCAGGCAGGCGTCTCTTCTCTTAGGATGCATTTGGAAGTCGAGCTGATTTTTAGCCTGTGATCCTTCCAGAATTCCGAGGATAAATTGAGTTGAAGGGAACGTGCTTCTGGGTAGGCGTGCGCCGTTAGAAACGCAGTGCCTATATGCTTGAGCCTGTTTGTGGATTTGGCAGTGCAATCTCGCGTAAGCCCCACTATGATCAGAGGGGCTTGCTTCCCTTGCAAGGGCACCAAGCTGTCAGTTTATTAAGGAATGGCTCTTCCTTATATAATGGCTCTTCGTGATCGTGCCAGTTAACAGGATTTGGGCCTGCAAGCCTGCTTTTACAGCTCAAAAGCAGGACATACTATTTAAGACCCAGTTTCGTGAAGAGGTGATTTGGGTTATGGCACATCATGAGCAAAGTGTTTGTCAGGCACTGTTTCTTTTGGCTTCAGGCTCAGCTTGCAGCTTCCTGTCAAAAAGCTCTGGGTGCAAAAGAGCCTTTATAGGTGTCCCTAGCAAAGAATTGTTCCTCCTGTTTCTGAGGTTCAGATGTGGAGTGCTACTGCTTATGTAGTTAACAGCACCACCCATGCTCAAGGAGTTGCCAGCAGGCTTGAAGGAACTCCCAAGATCTGCAGAAGTGCAAAAAAAACAAGAAAAAACCAACACCATTTAGGGGGGAAGCACACACACACAGAGGGAGGGAACACTGCAACAGCCCAATGAGGATTAAGCATGCTCATTGGCCTTGAAATACTATCAGAAAGGGGGAAGAACATAGAAAGGAGGAATGGAATGGAACAGCAGAATTTAAAGCTGCAACATTTTGTTGCAGGACCCATTTATGTTACAGTATTTCCACATAGTGACATAAACTGCATGCTTGATAAAGATCAGTAATATTCCTATTTAGGCAATTTTAAATACTGACAGGGAAAGTTCCTAGTTCTCCCATGTTGCTGCAGCAACATCAGACATGTTACGTTTTATCTTGCTCCTACACTATCATCCTGTAGTGAATTGCAACTTCCTGAATCTACTAGAAGCTGCCACCACCCTTGAATGGGTCATATGTGCTGGAATATTTATGATGCAATTATGCTTTCCTGATAGTTTCTCAACAGCAAATATATTTTAGATATTACAGATTTTGCTGTATCCTTGCTGACAAGAAAATGCAATGAAGAAATATTTAATTTTTTGTCCACTTGATCCCTACTTTGTGGATTGATAATCAGGGTTGTTGGGTTTTTCACTGACTTCGTGGCCACATATACATAGGGAAACATCTATTTGTAAGTCCTTAGAAATAATAAAACCTGCTGTGCAACACCAATCGAATTGTCACCCCAGTTTCATTTTTTATCTGATGGGGACAGAGCAAATACAAAGTGTGTTTATGCTGCAGACAGTACATATTTATAGCACATAACTCCATATCAAAGTAGATTAGGAAACAGTATTACATACCATAGCAGTAAAGTACATTTGGATTAAAATGCTAGAGCTAAATAACTTCATGTTGGTGGTACCTGCATTGCACCCTGTTCTTGTGCACATTTACAGAGAAGTTACATGTCACATTGCTGAGTGGAAGTTCATTGCAAGTTAGTGGGGGGGGGACTGTAGCATTTGATACAATTCAGTGCACTTTTACACAGAATTGAGGTCCACTCTGTTTAGTAGAGTTCACTCCTTTATAAGTGTATTTAAGATTGCAGCCTTAGCAATCTTATTCCTACACTTACCAGCAGGTATGCCCCTTTGAATTCAGTTGCGCCTGCTTCTGAGTAGACGTGTACAGAATAGTGCTGTTCAGTCACCTAGCATTTTACACAACTCGGCTTTTTCACCTAGTATGTTGCAGCAGGATTGTATTATAAATGGTCACTGGTATATCTCACATTGTGGATTTATGGCTTGGTTTCTGAAGATACATTAAGGGTACATTGCATGATGTGACAAATACAAGGTTTCTGCATACTGCAGTCACTCTCTGTGAATGTGTGGATATCCCTCTGAGATGGTTAATACGATTGCCATTACTTCAAGGTGAGGCAGATTATGTCTGCCTCCTGTACTCTGCCTTCCTGCAGTGCTTTGCTGCAATATATTGCAGGATCAAGTAACTTTTCAAGTAACTTGGACACGGGTGGCGCTGTGGGTAAAAGCCTCAGCGCCTAGGGCTTGCTGATCGAAAGGTCGGCGGTTCGAATCCCCGCGGCGGGGTGCGCTCCCGTTGTTCGGTCCCAGCGCCTGCCAACCTAGCAGTTCGAAAGCACCTCCGAGTGCAAGTAGATAAATAGGGACCGCTTACTAGCGGGAAGGTAAACTGCGTTTCCGTGTGCGGCTCTGGCTCGCCAGAGCAGCAATGTCACACTGGCCATGTGACCCGGAAGTGTCTCCGGACAGCGCTGGCCCCCGGCCTCTTGAGTGAGATGGGCGCACAACCCTAGAGTCTGGCAAGACTGGCCCGTACGGGCAGGGGTACCTTTACCTTTACCTTATTGCAGGATCAAGTAACTTTTCCATTCTCTTTCTCTCCCATCTTTGATTATATTGGAAGATGAGAAGTTGTAAAAGATTTACCTGCATACAATTGGTATTTATACTAAATTTTTGGAATGATGAGTTGTGTCAACTAAAACGTGTATTTCAGAGAATGAAGGTAAATGGCTGTGGTGGGTGGGGCCAGCTGCAAAATTGGGCACAGCAATTAATGTGAATTTTACTTTTGTACAGTATGTTTGTGCAGTGTGTTTGTACATGCACACACCCCATATAACTTCTATCTGGGCATGAAAGGCACATTTTAAGAGTTCAATGACATATTCTAGCAAGGCACAAAAATTCAAGGAAGGTGCAAAGCAGTGAGGGGTATGGCATGAGGGCAAGGAGTGTGGCCTGGGGAGAGTTATGAAAGCCTGATAGAGAAGAATGGAGGTCTGTG